CCGGCCCGGCTAATTCGTACCTGGCATAAATTAGGATACTAGGGTTTATTCCCGTCTTCTATAAATTAGGATGTCGCGGTCCCTCTTCCGCCACTTGGATATGGATTTTGTGTGGCTGTGGAACTACAGAGGGAGGAGGCGAAAGATCCGCGTTTGTGGGTTCGCGATCCACCACGCAGCTCCGCCGATCGTAATGTCAGTTCGATCTTTCTTTCATTTCCTGTGGTTTTTGTTCTTTTAATCGCTTTTCTTTCGTTTCCTGTGTTTTTGCGCCGATGCACGGTGCACCCCGGGCTTCTCTGAAAGTCGTATGACGATCGAGGCCCCAATGCCCGTGCGAGATTGAGTTTCCGTTCGGTGTTTCAGTTCGGTTGATGGTATCCCACGACTGATCTGTGTCAGTGACGGCCAAATTTAAGATCAATTTTTTTGAAATTATATGGATCAAATTGATGGTTTGTAGTGTGTATCTTAATCTGCTTTAGAAAATTAGCGTTTGAAAAGCTGCTAAGCCGGACTTCTTAAGCGTCTTGAGAAAATTCGGTGGGTTTTCCCGTTTCTTTCCTTGGATTTCTTCTGGTTGAAATTATTGCAGATGATTGAATTAGAATCCGGGTCACCTGTGATGACATATCCACATTTTGGAGGTGTAGATGGGTCCAAGTCCCTGTTTTGCAGGGAGAACCTACTTGGAGCTGCTACATTCAGATGCCATATCTGGATTTGTCTGAGGCACTGAAGTAAAACCCAGCGTTGGATTCTTTCAGTTCGTCTGTGTCAATATACTAGTAAATTTCAGAACTTTTTGAATCGATCTAATGTCTTTTTGTTGGTCTACCATTGATCCCTTTTCATTTGGTGGTTCTCGTTTAAGTCTGTGATCAGGCCTTTTTAGGAAACCTTTTCAGAGACCCCCTTTTTCGTTTTAAATTTCGTTACTCTTTTGGCTTCCATGTTGTAACTATTTGATCATAATAATAATTAGCATCTTTTTTTATTTTTATAATATTTTATGATAATTAATTAATAAAATGAAAAACTTTTAAATACCTTTTTTGATGACTTAAACTTTTACAATCACTGGGATAAAGATGATTGATTTTTTTTATGGTAATTAATTATCAGAATTTAAGATTATTTTGATATGTAACTCAATTTGTAACTTGGTTAAATTATCTTAAATCAATTCAAAATTTTACAGAGGACCTCTAAGATGATTAGTATAAATTTGTATTTATTAAAAATTTTATAATAATTAATAATTATTTAATATGGCTATGCATGAGTTGCAAAATGATTTGATTTTTTCAAACAAATTACTAATTTCTTGAATGATCCTTGGTTATTTGATATCTCTTTGTTTAAAACCAACTCTTATTGAAGTCACTAACCTTCCTCTTCGGATAACTGTAGTAATATTTTGGATAAGGTTATAAACAAGTATGATTTATCTCATCTTGATCAAAGTTGATATGATTGGTATAGCTTTTGGAGATTATTTATTTCCCCATGTACACAGATCCATAACTGATAGGCTTAATTATACTTTGCCCTCTTTGTTATCAGGAATCAGAATCCATTGTCAACATCACCTCAATATCACTTTCTTTTACACAAATCAACCTGGTTCCAAAGTGATGAGTTAAAAGAAGGCACAAATTTAACCAATAGTTACTTTTAGCTGTCATTGCCAACTAATTTTAATTTTTATGAAAAGCAATGAATGAATCTATATTAATAAGCAGCCCTGTGGTGGATATGGACTTTAGGTCTTATTTACACTAGCCACTATGCTAGATCAATGAAACCTGAAGGCACCCAAATGACCTTCTCAGGGTTAGATAAAGCTCAACACTGATGGTTCCTGTTTCTTAATAGGATGGAGGATTTATTTTTATCTTACGGGATCACTTGGAGCTTGTTTAGAAGCTGAAAAAATATATGTCTATGACAAAATAGATATATAATGTGAAGCCTTGACTATTAAAGAATGCATACTATTTGCTTCAGATTAAGGAATCCAACACATCTAATTTAAAACTGATTTTTCAGCATTTCATGACATATTTACTAAGGAAACAAATCCATCTTGACACACTTGCTTCATATCACCATTCAACAAATCTTCTTTAGCGATTAACTTTATTTATTTTTTATATTATTATAATGAATATAGTCAAGTAGTTAATTGAATATCAATAATGTTAAACTTCATCAAATAAAGTTCATTTACTTTAATGTTATCGGTTTTACTAATAAAATTATGAAAATTAAAAAATTTTAATGTTCTAGTGGGTGATGGTGGATGGTGTTGGTGGTGGTGGACAATGGTATATTGTTGGTAGTCGTGGGTGTTTGTTATGGTTGAGAAGAGCGACGAAGAGAGGTGAGGGTCATTCTACATCTGTATCGACATCGACGCAATTGTCGAGTGGCGAAAGAGTTGCTTGACAACTGCGTTAACATCGATGTAGTTGTTAAGCGACAAAAGTATCACTTGGTATTTACATTAGCGTTGACGGAATTGTTAAGTAATAAAAGGGTCGCTCGGTATTTGCGTCATCATCGATGTAGTTGTTGAATGATAAAAGAGCCATCGATGCAGATGCAAATCAGCTCTCATCTCTTGTCATTGGGCTCCTCATCCACAATAGTCACTCGCGACTCCTAGCGTCGTCGTCTATCACCACCATCACCGATGTCATTCGTCATCATCAATTCGTATGTTAAAATTATTTATTTATATTTTTTTTATATTTTTATGAATAAAATCGATGATGTTAGGATAAATGAATCTGTTTTATCGTAAGAATAGAAATAATAATATAACTTTTTAAAGCATAAAAATTAAGATATAAAAAATAACTAAATAATATATAATTATTTTTTAAAAAATATTTAATTAAGTATTTCCACCTATCTGCTCATAACAAAATCAACCTAATTTTTATCTTGCAACGATAAGCTTCTAAAAATATCTTCAAAGCCATGATGAATAAAAGAATTACAATAGCTAGATAATAGTGTCGAATTCCGATCAGTCGTAGACCAAACATTACTGACCGGCAAAACCTGAAACCTTTGTTTGATGAGAAGTGGGTGGGTCTCATATTTGATTGAGACAATAACTTACAACTTAGAGTTGAAGTTACAATCATCATTCGCATCTGCATTGTTATAGAATCAAGTGGTCACCACGAGGGAGACCCTCCACCTACCCTTTTGCAAGAAAGCCAGAGATCACACCAATACCCAACAACTCTATTATATCTATGTATATGTGGAATATAAACTTACCATCAATCAAGTATTATGTTAACAAGATAAAGATTTTTGTACCTTGATCAACTGAGCTGTTATATTATCGTCAAATGAAAAAAAATAAAAATATCTTTTTTAATGGTTCAATTATTGTGAGAACATTTTTTATTAGAAAAAAAGACTCATAGTCACTTTTTCTTTAATTATTTCTCCGGATTCATTTTCAAACTCATTTTCGATGCTAATAGACGTGCTTTCCAAAGAAATACAAATAAAATCAATATGATTGTATTGTTGTTGTTATTATTATTATTATTATAAAAATGATATATAATAACATAAAATTTTCCTCTTCAGAAAAAAAGGTCAGATTGGGTGATACCAAACAAAGTTAGCTAACTAATTAATCGACTCTCTTTGTTTTTTAACAAAGAAATAATTTTATAATAATCAAAATATGTTAGATAATTGTTAGCTAGGCAGCTAATTGCTCTACTTTCCTTTTTAATAAAAATAAATTTAAAATTATTAAAATATGCCAGGTAATTAAGAATATAGTTATTTATATTACAACTATATTTAAAAATATATTAATAATTTCAATTAATAGTTAGAGAAGGTGATTTGAGTGAAATTGTAGTTGTGAAATGATTTGAGTGTTGGTAAATAATAAATAAAAACTATATTTTAAATATACATTGACATAAATATTATTTAGTAAAATTATATTTCAAAAGTTTATTGAATATTTTATGATAAATTTATACTTCTAATATTATTAATATGTAAATAAATAATAAATAAAAATAAATGTATATAATCCTATAAAAAATTTGTATGGTCTAGAAATATAAGAAATAATAAATATAATAATATATAATATTTAAAATAAATAAATAAAATTTTATCTTATAAAAATTATATATCATCTTAATTTCTCACTAAATTATTTGGTAATATTATAGTCTTTGATAAAATTCTAAGATATTTTTAAATTTTAAAAATTATATTAGAAATGCTAACAATATCCCAAATTAGCATTAGCAAAATGGAACATTACGAATATGATTTTAAAAAATATATATCAAATACTCATTTACATTTGAAATATGTATTGAAAATGAAATTTGCATTGGGGTCTCAAGACATATTTCAAATGTGCTTGCAAATACATACGAAAGACTTAACATATATCAATCATTTGGGATTGATTATATGGATTCTTTATTATTATTGAGTTATATAAAAAATATAATTAATTAAATTAAGAGTACTAAAAATTTATTTATAATTTTTAATAAATTAAAGATTTAGTTTTATTAGATGGGATGCTGTTTAATGTTAGCCATTAATGACCTAATGTAATCTTGCATCTTTTTTATCAATAAACAAAATAACTATATAAATAGCTATAATCTCTATTTAATTATAATTATAATAATTACTTCTCACAAATTAAAGTGAATTTATTTGGGACAAACTTATATTCAGATAAAATACAAATAATAATTTATCTGGTAAGATTCCAAATATTATATATATGTAATTTAAATTTATTTTTTTATCATATATAATTCATAGCTTCAAATTTTAGAGGTTAGCCACGTACGTGAATTAGGAATCAAGCAAAAGAAATCCACCAACTGCTGCTCTCTTGCAGCAACAAACACGGCGTGTTGGTCCGTAACGGAGGTGGTGGAACAGAACACCCTCCCGAATCCGTACATTCTCTCTTTCCGTCCCCCTCTCTCTCTCTCTCTCTCTCTCTGCTCGCTTCTTCATCCTCCCTCTTCATTCACTGGCCATCGCCCAAAGTCCTCGTCTTGGAGGAATATCGTCGTGGTTTTCTGGACGATTTCCCTCCGACCACCGGTTTTCGGCTAGGTGTGCTCTCTGATTTCGCTGCTTCCGTCCGTCCTTTTCTTTTATTTGGTGCATTTGAAGGCGCGATCTCGGCGAAAAGATCGATCTCTCCGGTGCTTTTCCTCCATTTCTGGTGTAGAGTGGTCAGATCAGAATGGGAGGATTGCGTGGATGCAGAAATAGGTAGCAAAACTGTTTATTTTTCCAAGATATCGTTCTATGTTCGAGTTTTTGTTCTTGTTAACTAATCAGTTCCTGGAGAGTTTCATGCGTTCTTTGTGCTGTTTTGAGGGACGGAGTTGAGAGAAATTTTAGATTTGGGAAGCATTTCCGCACCATCAGGTCTGTTCTTGTGAAGAAAAGATCGATTTTTTCTTGGATCTTTAAAGTAACTGGACTCTGGAATCACTGACAGATCAGAAACTCAATATTTCTCATGGACACCGATTGTTGGATAGATTGGATATAGAAAATTCCTTCTGAAGAAGTGGCTTTGGTTCTGCTGCCGCCGCTTCTTTCTTGTTCATTATTCTCTCCTGGTATTTCCAATCGTTTCAGAGAATTGGAGGTGTTCCCGTTGTAGAGTCTAAAGGCTGCGGAGCATCTTGGAGATAGCAACACAACAGTTGATCTATCAAGTGGTGAGTAAAAGTATGAGAAAGAATGGGAGCCTTCATCTAGGGAGAGCATTTAGTGACAGAAGATGGCTTATTCCATTCTTTGCAAGCTTGCTGGTCTCTTTCACTCTCTTCATGGCAAATGTTCTTGGGCTATTTGCCACTCACAATCCTGGGGATTCATTGTCCTTCGATGTTAGTTTAGATGTTTCTGAGGGTTATAACATAGAGCCAGAAAGGAAAGAGCCAATGGACCAGACAGTGGCATCGGAAAATGAAGCTCCACGGATAGCTTATCTGTTAACTGGCACAAAAGGTGACAGCCAAAGAATGAGGAGAACTCTGCAAGCAATATATCATCCACGAAATCAATATATTCTGCACTTGGACCTTGAGGCTCCTCCCAGGGAAAGGATAGACTTGGCCATGTATGTCAAGGGGGATCCTTTGTTTAGTGAGGTTGAGAATGTACGTGTAATTGCCAAAGCCAACTTGGTGACATACAAGGGCCCAACAATGATTGCGTGCACCCTTCATGCGATTGCCATCCTGTTGAAGGAGAGGTTAAGATGGGACTGGTTTATAAATCTGAGTGCATCGGATTATCCTCTTATGACACAAGATGGTCAGTTGTTGTTTGATATTTAGTTGTTTATATTCTCATTTCTTCTATTGATTGAACTTGCATTTGTCAATTTCAACAAGTTATAGCTGCTGATAAATCTTTTATATCATGTTTTGTTGTACAACTTCCATGGCATTCTTTCTTTTACTATGTCAATGCCAAAGAGGAAATGGAGGAATTCGAACTTGTAATATATTACAGTTTTGTTTATCTTCGCTGATCATTTCCTTCATGATTTTTATCTTTTTAGAAATTGAAGTTTTTGATTAAAACCAGCGGCTAGAGTGATAGTTGCAACTCATGATTCTCCCTTTTCCACTCAACTTTTGTCAATAGAAGCCCCTAGTTGAAGTGAAAGTTCGAGATGGCACTCACCCCCCCACATTTTCTACACAAATAATTTGGTGAAAAGTTTTTGTAAAAGTACTTTATTTTTTTAAAACAATAAATGGTTGATTCACTTTATTGTAGCTACTTATACTGGATTAGTTTAGATGATTCTGTTGATACACATTCTCTTTAGTCTTTAAGCATCTAACTAATATTGATGCTAAAAAATATTGGGGGGAAAATTCCATCTACAAGTATTGGCTAAAATAAGGCTTGAAATGATCATGGATCAGGGAGCCCTTGACCCAACGGAAATTACCCTGAAATGGTGGAACCAACATTCTTGACTATTATTAATTAGGAATCCATAGTTTCAATTAAACTGAGAGCTAATTATGACCATTTAGCAAAATGAAAACTCAAATCAAGAGAACCAAATCTTCAATAGAGCCATTTATCAAGGACTTTGCCCTTTGAATGTGAAGAGTTTCTTGCAGAATCAAAGAATTGTATCATGTATGGCCATAATTTTATTTACCCCAATAATGACTTATTTGATGCTTTGTCATGGTTTTTAACATGGAATCATCGTCTTAAAAATTTTTCTTCAAGAAATAATCTAATAGATCCGATTTCCTTGCGCATCTTTGAGATCTGCCACGTGAATTGGGTTGTGCTGACAAATTGGATCTGTTTTAGTATGCATTAGTCATATTGTTCATAAACACATGTATTATTTTCATTAATACATAGATTCCATCAACTAATAATAAGCATGGAGATTAACTTTCTTTTCAAGAAGAAAAACAGAAGAGTGCATAGCTTATGATTTGAGTATCCATACATGTAACTACTATAAAATCTGTTCCCATTTTAATAATGCCATCATATCTTTGTGTAGCTTACTTGTGTTAAGGTATATGTGCAGATATACTACATGTTCTATCTTCTTTGCCTAGAAACCTCAACTTCATTGAGCACTCACCTATTGCTGGTTGGAAACTGTAAGTTTAAGGCTATTTATTCTCACTTTAATTTCTTACTAAAAATATAAAATTTTCATGTAAACAATTGAATACAGGACTCAGAGGGCAAGACCAATAATTGTTGATCCGGGTCTTTATTTGTCCAAAAAATTCAACGTTTTTGAAACCAAAGAACGCCGTGAACTGCCAACCTCTTTCAAATTGTACACTGGTAAGCTGTTTTACATCCATCAACTTGAATTTGTTCCTCTGTTTGACTATTCTTTGTATCCGCATCATGAAATTCTGATGTCCTTCTATGTGGGTAATGATGTCTAGGCAAGATTCTTATTCCTGATTTTGTCTGAGAGATTGAACATCTTTAAGGATCTAATGCACCCTTTCTGTTTCTATTTTCAGTGCATGCTAAGTGCATACTGTAGCTTTTGATCTTATAACTTGAGTTCAACATTGATACACAGATCATAGTCTCATAAAATCCATTAGCAAGGTTTTCTTTCACCTTGGTTTGATTATAACCTATTTAGTGTTTGTGCTATCTACAATAAAGCACCTCTTTCATTACATATATTGCAACAATTATCACATGTTACATCATCGGTTACTGCTGGTATATGTAATAGACACCACCACTAACCTTGTACCAAACACTTGTACAAATTCTCAATTTTATGTTTTCCTTTACTCAGAAAGTGTTTATATTATATATAGATTACTGACTCATCTTGTGTGCAGGTTCAGCATGGGTGATGCTGACTCGGAACTTCCTCGAGTACTGCATATGGGGATGGGAAAACCTTCCTCGAGTTCTCCTGATGTATTATGTAAATTTTATCTCCTCACCTGAAGGTTACTTCCACACTGTCATCTGCAATTCTGATCAGTTCAAGAACAGTTCGATAAGCCACGACCTACATTATATTGCCTGGGACAAACCTCCAAAGCAACATCCACGATACCTTTCCACCAAAGACTTCAACAAAATGGTAAAAAGTGGTATGCCCTTTGCTCGGAAGTTTGGAAAAGGAGATTCAGTTTTGGACAAAATCGACCGTGAACTCTTGGGGCGATCCGATGGGCAATTCACCCCAGGTGGGTGGTGCAGTCAGAGATCAGATGGGGCAGAACAATGCTCATCAAGGGGTGACGAGTCCAAGTTTCTGCCAGGTCTGGGTGCTGAAAGGTTAGAGCAATTGATGAAAAAGCTTATGTCCCAGGATTTCCGAAACGGGAGCTGTTCCTCATTGCAGTATGATCAAACTAAGAGAGATTGGATTCATAGAAATGCAGCTTAACAAGAGCAAACCCACAATTCTTGGTTCTTTGCACTATATACTTCATGATATCTCTGAGATGTCACATATGGCATAGTATGAGAGAGTCATACCTGCATCATTGTTCTGGAAGGACTATTATCAAGCATTTGGATCAACATAGCTTTGACTTCCTAATCTATGGATGTTGCAGAAGTCAATTGAGTGTCTCAATGAGTTGGAGAGAGAAATGCATACCGATATCACATATATTGAAATCAAAGCTTGGGGCCAAGCTAAAGAGAAGTGAAAGCTAATGCATGATGGCTCCTAGTTTGTACTTTTAGATGAACAAATTGTATCTGACATTGAAAGACTAGAATTTTTTTCCTTGATTTTTGATATTCTAAAAGATCTTATTTCTTTCTCAAGCATAGTTAAGACATGTTACTATATCAGAGTTAGTTGAATATCAAAGAAAATTCACAATTTAAGTTTTATGTATTGAGTTTGAATCGGTTCCTCAGGGAAAATATTAAGAATATAAATTTAAGATTGCGGATGAGTAATTAAAATAACTCTTACTATAAAGTCAAAATCATTTTCATCAATCAGCTTGAATAATGAGTTTTTATGTCAAATTTTTTTAGGCATTACAAAAGACAAACCCAAACAAGTTAATGTTTTATAAAAATAAAAAATAAAAATTATTATCCTCTATATTGTAGGAGAAGTTACAAAAATAATTTAATTTTAAAAATATTATTTCATGTAATCTAATAATATTATATTCCTAATCCTTGGATAAAAAAATTTAATATTTTAATATTTAAAATTTAATATATACTTGTCAAATTATAGTACAAAAAATCCGAATATAACAATTTGGACGTTACTTCTTGTGCCGGGATAATGTTACCGGAGGGACAACCGATACGAAGCGCGAAACGATATATAATCCCGAAACGTCATATAACGCGCCCCCTCTTATCCGCCTCTTTCGTTCTCTCTCTGGTTTCTTCTTTTGTGGCCTCGCATGGAGACGCTGAAGCCGATGCTGCCGTCGCCGTCTAGTATGCCTCGCGGTTCCTCATCCTACAGAAGCAGCATCTGCAAGACCCTTCCACTCTCCTCCGTCCCCGCCGCAAGTTCCGCAACAGCGGCGGCGCGGCCTCTCGCCTCCTCCTTTTTTGTCGCAAGAAAGCTGTCGATGCCATCCCCAATTCCCCTCTCTGGTCAGTCCTTCTTCCTCTCTCTTGCTCTCCCTCCCGCGCTCTCTCGAACGATTCATCGCCATTTTACGCTTTTATTAATCCTGTTTCTTTGACACCTATCATAAGATTATCTCAAATCGAGAGTGAATGTCCTCCAATTATGGTTGTCGTATGGCATACTAATCTGACCTTTTTGTTTGGTCTAGTCCGATTTGCAGCTTCTGGTGGTCAATCAAGCGTGAGCGTCAGTCCTGAAACAGCTGAATGGGCGATGCAAGGTGTGTTCTCACTTTTGGATCATTCGCACCATATTATTAAGCTTGATTTTTGGTAAAGTCAATCTTCTTTTTCGAGTTTTTTGATGATTATGGTGAGAAACTTTTAGTTAACAACAGCAACAAGCCGTAATATTCCAACTATTTGGGGTCTTTTGCTGCCATTTAGCTATGTACAAGGGAATATCCTTATTTAAATTAAACTTTTTAATTACCATTACATGAAAATAGGTAGAGATTTATATTGAAATTCCACTGTTTCTAGTGTGAAGGATCTCCCCAGAGGTTTTTATTAAGATAACTCTAAATGAACCTTGAAGCATTGAGATCAGACATGAACAAAATGTTAATGATTCAAACAAAAAATATAGCAGAATACAGGGCCTTTGTTTACAACCCTTGTATCTGTGCCATTAACATAATGTCAAACTTTACTAATAATGACTAATATTATTATTTGTACATATTTCTTGTGCTATTAACTTCTCTCATTTCTATTTGTTAGATTGCAACTTTGCTGATTGTCTGCTTGCAATTTTTTGTGTTACTGAGTCTGTCCGTTAGTACTTTCTTTTGTTTACTCTTTTAAAGGGAACCCAAAAGTCCAATAATACTAAATTGGTTCTGGCAACTGCAGATTTTTATGCCTTGCGAAAGGATGTTGAAACTACTGCTCAGCGTGTAGAAGAAATAAGAATATCTGCTGGTCTGGAACGTTTAGAAGCTGATCTTGCTTCACTAGAGAAGAAGGCTGCAGATAGTTCTTTATGGGATGATCGTTTGAAGGCACAGGAAATACTTCTTTCCTTGACTGATGTCAAAGATAAAATCAAATTTCTCAATGATTTCAAATCTCAGGTTTTGAATTTGTCAACTTTTTGCTTGTTTCAAGCATTATATGACATATAACATTAATAAATGTGTACTTGATGTGTGAGTAACTCATAGTCATAAAACAGTAAGAAAAGTACCTCTTTCCAATTGCACAAACAGTATACACACTTCAATTTTATCTCAACCAATGATTGCAATTTCAAGTATTGCACCCATGTTGATTACTGGCTGAACCAGTATGAGTCCAGTACAATTTAACATACTGATGTATTGGTAGACTGTAGGTACTGGTACTTGAAGGGGGAGGAGAACAAAAAGAGAGGAGGAGATGATGCCACCGGTGGATGCAGTATCAGTATTTTACTGGATTGGTTAGTTCAAAATTTACCAAATATCCACGCACTGGTTGGGATCACTTGGTAATAGATGGAATCTGTTGCACTTATCTGGAATTGACAGGAATCACTTAATAAGATATTATTAATTGGTTGATGATTAGCTGCAACTGGTGTGAGATCAGCTGTGATTAGCTTAGGATCTATTGAGAATGATTGAAGTTGATCATGATGACGATGGAATAATTTCTATTAGCCAAAATATCCACGCACTGGTTGGGATCACTTGGTAATAGATGGAATCTGTTGCACTTATCTGGAATTGACAGGAATCACTTAATAAGATATTATTAATTGGTTGATGATTAGCTGCAACTGGCGTGAGATCAGCTGTGATTAGGTTAGGATCTATTGAGAATGATTGAAGTTGATCATGATGACGATGGAATAATTTCTATTAGCCTAGATCATTCAGTAACTGCATATCTTGGCTGATCCTTGAGCTGTAATCATCTGCCCAAGGAAATGGGGGTTTTAGGATTACTTGGATCTTCCCATTTTGGAGCTGCCAATTAGCTGATTTTGAAATGTGTAAGAATCAAGGATTTTGAAACAAACATCCCTAAGATATAGATATAAAAAGAAGCTGCTACTTAAAACAAGTTGTTCACATGATGGGAATGGTGAGGCTAGAATTAGAATATCAATAAAGCAAAAAAACAAACATTTTACCTATCTTGCCTGCCACGTCTACATGACCCAACATATTGCTTCCCATCATTGTCGTCTCAATGAATCATGACTGGACACAGGGAAATAAAAAAAAAAATTTCCTTGTTGGAACATGGTTAATGATGTGGCATCCCAGAGAGGATCTTCAGTGTCCGTGTTATGTATGACAATCTGTTTATGAGCATTGGCTTATGCTTGAGGAATAGTCAGATACTTTGCAGAAATAATGTGCCTTGCTTGTGGTGTCCTTCGGCACATTGGCATCTAACAGTTACTAATTGATGATATGGCAGTTGTGATTTGTAACTGTTTAAATAATCGAGTTGTTTTTTATTTAAATGTCACGAGCTGAAAAAGAAAAACAAAGGTGAAATTATGATATTAATGGTAACTGTTGATACTTGCCCTTTGTTCTAATTTTATCCATTTTGAATTAGGTTGAAGAAGCTGAAACAATAGTTAATCTGACTGAGGAGTTGGAAACAATTGATACTGGTCTTCTTCAAGAGGCTTCCAAGATAATTCGAGAACTAAGCAAGGCTCTTGATCGGTTTGAGTTGACACAACTTCTTTCTGGGCCTTACGACAAGGAAGGGGCTGTAATTACTATCACAGCTGGTGCTGGGGGTACTGATGCACAGGTATGCAACCAATCCATTTTTCTTCTCCAACAATTTTTGTTTTTGTTAACTGGACAGTTATTGCTTCAATACTGGTTTCCTTCTGACTCTTGTAATTAATGCTTTTTAGTAATTAGTCATATTCTAAGTGACAAAAGTTAGGCATGGATAGTTGTTGTTCATTAACTCCTGGTGATGTCTTTTAGTTCTGGATGGGTTTAATTGTGTCTCTGTTCTTGGACAATATTTAAGAAAAACTGTTCTTGGTGATGGTGTTATAGGACAAATGTTTGATTTGCTTCAAGGTGCAGACATCTGTGCATTTTTGGAATTGATATTTTTTCAAATGGAGTAGCAAAGGTTGTGACTACTGCAATTGCAATTTGATCCCTCATAGATGAAACACTGAATGAGGCGTTTAGGTTTTGGGAAAATGTGAAACTTAATTTACTACTCTGTTAAAAAATATTTTTTGTCTATTACCATGTATGATATGATTCAGCTTCATTACTTAGCCAATGCTGAGTGTTAGAAGAAACTACTTGGAGAAAGGGAATTAATCTTCATAATGTATAATATTTAACATATTCATAGTACAAAATCCTTTTAAAGGATTCACCTGAATTATTAGTACTATAAGTAATAATGGATGATATGACATTGATTATCTCTTCTCAGTTGCTGTTGCAAACCTTTCATGTGTTGCTCTCTTCTTGTAAGACTTTTGCTTTATCTTCAGTGCAGGATTGGGCAGATATGCTACTTAGGATGTATGTGAGGTGGGGAGAGAAGCAAGGATACAAGACAAAAGTGGTTGAGAAATCTATGGGTGAGGAAGCTGGAATTAAATCGGCTTCAGTTGAACTTGAAGGTCGTTTTGCCTATGGATATCTATCAGGGGAGAAAGGAACACATCGAATTGTTCGTCAGTCTCCATTTAATGCTAAAGGACTTCGCCAGGTAATCCCACACCCTTTTCTATTTGTTGATCTGTCATTGTTTTTGGAGAATGAAAGAGAATGATAAGTTCCTTTTATATAAGGATCATTACTACTTCAAGAAGTAATATATTATGTGTACAGAGTGGTAGACCAACCTGTATGACCTGATATTATTACACATAATAATAAAAAATAAATCTTGACCATCACCGAGCTTTATGGTTTGCTACCCAGTCTTTGATTGAACCGATAAATACCAGTTGCTACATTTTTTTCTGACTAATATTTGAAACCTTGGTATAAACCATGTTAAAACACCAAAACTTCTGCTTATGCCGGCTGGCTACTGGAAAGGGAGTGGTGGTGCCAAAGGTTCTGGACCTGCATATAAATCTGTCTATGATAAATACAGACAACAGTGTCCTTGCAATTTACCCAGTTCTACCTATTTCTTCTGAGCCATCCATTCACCTCCAAACTTGTTTGGAATTACATCCACTCAGATCTGATGGTAATCTGACATTTTGCTATCTCTAAATCCAATCCAACTATTTAAAATGTCCCATGTGGTGTGTTCCTTGCAGTGTTGATACTTTGCTAGATAGGACACTTTGTATGTTGCATTCTAGAATTTGTTCTGATTTTGTGCTTGCTTCAATTGTAACATCACTTTTGCTCTTCAGTAACATGCATTGTTGTCATATATGTGGAAAATGAGCTTCACTTGCATGAATCCATCACAGATGATATATTATCTCTATTCTGATTGTTTTGATAAGGATACCTGCAGACGAGCTTTGCTGGTGTTGAAGTTATGCCCCTTCTTCCTGAAGAATCTCTAGATTTAGACATACCTGAAGAAGACTTGGAAATTAGCTATTCTAGAGCTGGAGGAAAAGGAGGACAGAATGTCAACAAAGTGGAAACAGCAGTTAGAATTGTTCACATTCCTACTGGTGTTGCAGTTCGTTGCACAGGTTTGTCTTATGAAAGAATTAGTTTTAAGACCAATTTAGCCTTGTCATTAAAGCAAATAAACATCCAAATAAATTATGTTAGAAAAAAGATATTTCAGAGTAAACCTGAAACAAAAATCTGCACCTAATTAAATATCCAGTGTTGGGTGTGTACTTGGTATCAAATTATCGAAGTTCATTCACAATATTGACAGCACAAAATGCATGAGATCTGGCTAGTAGAACACCTTTTTCTTGGTAATTGCAGCATCTTTTTTTTTTTTGTCTCAGAAGGCTTTGGTTCATTTTGAATCAGGAAATTGGTATAATATAAAAGAATGATTGCCTTCCTTTTCTGACATCTATGATATATTTGGTCAGATTGAATGTTATCATCGGGAATAATTACAATTGTTGACCCTCAGACTATATGATACAATATACATGAACTGGTGTCAAATATCAGGCCTCAGAAGAATCCAATAATTGAATCTTCAAAAATTAAGACAGGACATTTCCATAGTGTATAGATGCTTGTACAAGTTTCATGTGGATGTCTACATTTACTTAATGTTTAGCTCGAGAGTTTATTTAGATTCAACTAGCATTTCAGAAAGAAAATAAAAATCTAGAAGGCAGAAGACTTAGTGTTGGATATAAAAGTTTTATGTCGAAGTGCTAAAACTTTTAGTGTGGTAGTGATACTAACCTGGATAAAGTTTCAAGGAGAGCGGACCCCCAATAAATGGAACACTACAATTAATTACTGTTGTTGTTGTTGTTGGATAAGTGTCAATTAGTGTCTTGGAGCGCAGTCAAGTATCTGATAAATTTTGTCTGAGATGAACAATTCAGATGTGGACTGTACTTATTTATCAATGTGCTCCTGCTATCTCAAACTAGAACCATTCCTAACTGAGGATAGCAAATCTAAATAACAGTATGGAATTTTTTTCTTGAGATTTTTCTATGTTAATTTTTTTATTAAAAATCCTTCATAGCCTAGATCTTGGAATCTTGTTTTAAATTTAATATTATATATAATTTTCAAATCATTGATCACAAATTTCTGTTTAAGGCTATTCTTCAGGATCAGTTAAGATATCACATACTGTATATCTGTATGAAACAACAGGATAAATATTCTTGTATGTCATAGATCTGTTTTTTACCCTTAAATTAAATATCTGATTTCTTTTAGTGAACTTATCACATCTGAGCCTTTGATATATACCATATAACTAGGGAAAATATTGCACAGACTTAGTGCCAATACATGTTGATAGTATTTTCAACTCAAGCATACGTTGGATTTTACTCCTGGGGCTCCCCAGTTTGCCACAGATGTTCATGAATACTGGTTTATGTTATTTAAGAATAGTACAATTCTTAGTTGGAGGTACTTTACCTAATTAGGCACTAATTTCTATCTGATCGACCTTTTTGATTCCAGAGGAAAGGACTCAGTTGGCTAACAAGATCAAGGCCCTGAGCCGTTTGAAAGCCAAGCTGCTCGTAATTGCAGAGGAGCAGCGTGCTTCCGAAATCAAACAAATAAGAGGAGATGCAGTGAAGGCAGAGTGGGGTCAGCAGATACGCAATTATGTCTTCCATCCATACAAGCTTGTGAAAGATGTGCGGACCGGGTACGAGACATCAGACATCTCGTCGGTGATGGACGGGGATCTTGAGTCATTTATAAAAGCTTACCTCAAATACAAGTATACTACCAGTGTCAGTGAAGCGAGCGTAAAATAACATATTACGTTAATTTATTTCGCCTTATTTCTTTATTTGTCGTTTATGTTGGCAATCACATTGTTACTTGACATTTAGAATATGTATCACTTTAAGCAGCTTTTAGTAGATAAAGAAAAAAGTTGAAGTTCTCTCTGTATGAATCTCATCTGATTCTTCTCTTCCTTGTACTTATTTCAGAAATGCACCATTTCCAAATCTCCTCTTTGGCCACTGAGAATATAAGATCATAGTGTGTAAACTTATACTATACTATGAAGTCAGGAATCACACTCACATGTTGGGTTCACAAGCACTAGATTTTGAAGCACTATGTCTTACACATCTACCTGATTGGTGGGACTAATCTCAGACCTTTTATCTCAAATCTGAGATAAGAGTAGGCCCAAATGTATAATGATTGAAGTTGAATCATACATTATATTGTGAAGATCCCTCATGATCAAATCATTTCAGCTTATTGTAGAGCTGTCAATACTTCTGGCCCCCTTCAAACCAAATGTTTGAAGTCTTATGGGATACCTGTGGGTCAAGTGGGATTCTCAACAAATCATCTTCTGGCTTCTCAGATTACGTCGAACTCATCGGATAATCAAGAATATTTTGGATTCAAGAATATTTTGGATACTTACTTTTCGACGAAATTTCCTGGTGGGGAAATGATTTCCCTGCAGAGTTTTGTTCTAATATTTTCCTGTATTTTGATCAGGATGAATGAATGAATGAATGAATGAATAGTTCTTTTCTTTCAAAGCAAAAACAAAAACAAAATCATACTGCAACTCTTACACACAAATGTTATCATGTCTCTTTTGCAGAGTGGATTGAGAAGAAAGACTTTTTTTAAGAACATTGTGTATAAAAAGATGAATTAACTAAGAACTTGGATTTGAATAAAAGTAGGATCAATAAGTCATCAAGCAACTGAGAGCCCTCATTTGAAGAAAAGTAGAATCAATGAGTCTTGGAGTCTTTACTTCCTGTAGAGCTGTGGTGCAGATCAGACTCAGGAGAGGCTCTTGGTAGCTCAGGTGGGTTCCATCAATCACATGGGAGGCACCATCAATTGGTGCATGAGCATTTGGCAGACACAGGGGATGGCCATTGTTGGTACTGAGTTACCTAAAGGACATGATTGCAAGTTTACTTGGGACAGATTCACCTGCACCCAATTTCCAATCAACACAAGCAACTCAGAAAGTTTTGGAGAGAGAGATATATATATATATATATATCTTCTGAACCCAATGTTTTTACACCTCCAAATTTCTCTCTCTAGAATCTATCCTAGAAGAGAAAAACTCAAACAATGTGCTTTTTTTTGGGCTTCTGTTAGAATATATTACTTGGAATAACAATTGATTCCTGCATCATTAAAGAAATACTATATTACTCAGAAGATGCTAAACGTTATTTCCAATATTAAACACTTTAATGCTAAACCTATGCCCTTAGATCTCTCACACTAAAAAGACTTACTTCATGAAACTAGAGGAATATATATAGCCTGATTAGCCTTTGCTTGCTCGATAATGTTCCTATTAACATTGTTTAACTAAACTTATCCATTCCATCTCTTCTTCATCATTTTCTTCTTTATTTTTTTCTCACTATTTCCTCCTCTTCTTTGTGAGTCCTCTCTTCTTCTCTCTCCTAAAGAGTGTTAGTGTGTGCTGATATAATGTATGTTAATATGCTGGTACCCATGATGTATACGGGTCCCACTTGAGACCATTATGAGGTTTGGTACAAGATTACAAATCTTGATGATTACAATATTTAATTTATTGAACTAAGTTGGTTTACATGATTAGATGGATCTACTTTCATTTTATCTAATAATAATCTTATAAAAGTTTTTATTTTAATAAAAAATATTAATTTCCAATATCCATCCATATTTTAACCATCTAATTTTTATTCAATAAATAATATCATCACCAATCCATCCTTTTACTTGGAGTTTTCTTTTTTCATCCAACCAAAAATAACTAAAATAAAATTCTAATTTTATTTTGGGTGATTTTTTTTGAAAAAAACTTCCTTTTTTCTTTTTTTTTAAAGATATCATCTCTTGTTTTTAATTTTTTCATATAGTATCGTTATTTTTATAATCTAAAAAATACCTTCTCTTCATCATCATCGCTTTTAACGTCACCTGTTCTTTCTCACTCATCGTCTTTATCCTACTCACCCGTCATATCTAATTTTACTAAAACAACAAGGTTCTTGTCTAAGTCAATGGTTTTACCGTAGGTTACCGTCCTCCCTTCCACTGCTTCATGAAGTGATGGGGGCATTCGCAGTGGGCTATCTTGTCATTAGTAATTACACAAGAGCCAATGATTGCTTAGGCATCACGAGAGAGTTGTGATAGGAAAAAAAGACATTACAAGTGATAGAGAAGAAGTACAAAAGTGGAGGTGAAGAGCACAACGGAAAATGACATACCTCCTAATCAGGAATGAAAAATTAGGACGGAGACAACAAAGGAATGACACCCATGAAGTGAGCGAGATAACACGATCGACAAGATGGAGACACAACAAGGGATAGACAAAGGATGGTGACCGAGTAGAATGATCATTAAAAAAAAAATAATATGAGAGAATTTCTTAAAATTGAGTGTTATTGGAAAAATTCTTAAAAGTTTCCGATTTAATTTTCTAGAATTCGGCGAAACAACATTTCTTTGGGCAGTTTGAGATAACATTGGAGATGTGTCGGTCTTCACTTACAGCTCTCTGCCCATCAATCATTACTCTCCGTATATATAGTTGGGATACTGTTGCGTTCACAGCGCGCTCTGCTCACCCGTCCTAAGGGATGTGATCGATCGTCGGCTTCTTTGCAGTACGAGAGAGTGGATTTCCACTCAAAAAGGATTCCTCTTTGGGTCGGATCACGAGGAATCAATGCACCTTTCCGCATTTATGCCCTCTCTCTGTCTCTACCTATCTTCATCTTTCAACGACCCTTCGTGAACTGAGAACGGAGAGATTGATCGGGTGTCTCGTGGAGAAGATCGGGAAACGAGGCGCCTTTTTGGATTCATCTCCGACTCCCGGGCTCCGAGCGCGCGAGCTTTCCGCCAGAGTTCGTACCAAAGGTTGGTTTTGTTGTGGGTGGGCCATTTCGATCTTTCTCGATCAGTGACATGGCAGAAGGAAGGGTTTTCTCTAACTTTGTTGATTGATTTCGACGGGGATTTTTTGTCCTGGAGATCTGTACCTATCGGTTTCTTCTCAATTTTGTTGAAAGATCGGATCCTTTTCATCGGTTCTGCAAGGAAAACGTTTTTGTCGAACAAAGCCTGCAACTATTCTCGTTTCTGTGGGCAAGATCCGATGCATTGTACGAGGAGTGTCGTCGTTTCTCTTGGTGAATCCGATGGAGATAGTTGGATCTCGATGAATCTCAGAATCCAGCCTCTGTGACTTCATCTCTTTGATCGATTTCCCTGGGAAGAAAATTTTCCTTTTTTTTCTCGTCATCTTACTGGATGTGTAGTTCAATGCACATTTGCCAAAACCAAAGTTTACTTCTCCGCTCACGTTGTTCATTTGAGAAAATAATCTCTCTCTCTCTATTGTATGATTGATTAGATCTCTGGAGACTCAATTTTGCTCAGTCTAAATGAGTTTGATTTCCAGGAAATTTTATTTTTGAAGTCTCTGGTGATCCATACCATGGCTCACTGCACAAAACTCGAATTTTCTGGTCTGGTTCTGCCTATTTCAGCATATTTGGTTCATCTCGTTGAGGTTTCTCGATCTACTTCCTCGTGAACAATTCTGATCTCTGAAATTTTATGTGCAAGTCAGTTCTGATAGATCACTGTCTTTAGTCTTTTCTGTTCAAATACCACTAGTTATTACTTGATTCCCATAATGTGGTTGGAGGATATGATCTTTTAGCATAGGAAATGCTGAAATCAGCAATCACTTTGCTCTGTTAGAAATCCACATCTGGTTTTGTGTCATGCTCCTCTGTTTCACTTCAATTCTCTACTGTGGGTTGCATTCATATAAGCTGTTCTCTTCTCGCCTCTTCTCTGAAATGAAATATACTCTGTGAAAATTATAAATTCCATCATGGCAATCTGTTCTTATTTTTCACATCCTAAGGATGACTCCGTTTGTCACTCGGAGAACTTGTGAGGTCGTCCAGTCTTTCTGTTTCCTAAAAGCCATTATCTCGGTAATACCTCCTTGCCTTAAATTTTATCCGGGATTGGAATCATCTCATAAAAAAACTGCTTGCTTGTACCTGATTCGCTGGACAATTTTGAAAGAACAAAATTTGCTTGATATTTGTGTGTTCTGGAGCCATCACACAACTGATATATCATACTAGTTGCTTTAGAACATCTACACCTTTGATGGTGGAACAATTAGAGAATAACTAAGGAGAACCTGCCCTGGTCCCGAAGCTCGATCAGCTTTCTTGTTCATGCTAGCATTGATTGCTATTCATACTCAGATGCTAATTCATTGAGTATCCAAATGTTTTCTCCTTTCCTGCAGAGTAATGTGCTTTAGAATTGCAACAAATGGCTTCGTTGGTCCCGGGTGTCCTTATCAAGCTCCTTCAGCACATGAACACCGATGTTAAGATTGCTGGAGAGCATCGGTCGTCCCTCCTCCAGGTTGTGAGTATTGTTCCTGCCCTAGCTGGAAGTGATCTCTTCACCAACAGAGGCTTTTATCTGAAGGTCTCTGATTCTTCCCATGCAACATATGTTTCCCTGCCTGATGAGCACAATGACCTTATCTTAAGTGATCAGATCCAACTAGGCCAATTCATTCATGTTGACTGTCTTGAGGCAGGCTCCCCTGTGCCCATTCTTAAGGGTGCGAGGCCACTTCCTGGTCGTCATCCATGTGTCGGGAACCCTGAGGATCTCGTAGCCACCAGTTCTCTTGGTTTCCTCAATCCTGAGAAACCAAAGTCATCCAATTACTCAAAGCATAACAGCAACAAATCTTCAGAAAATGACAGGAGCAAGTTGGGCAACTCAAAGTTACCTATTAAAATGCAGGAGGTAGAAAAGAAAAGGGCTTCACTTAGCAGGTCAAGCTCTTTACTTTCAAAACAATTGGTCACTGGCAAACTGGAAAAGAAGGTTTCTATCAGTGTGAGATCAAAATCAATGCACTTGAGGTCAATGCCTTCATCTCCAACAAGTGTCTATTCTTTGCCTGGATCATTTGAGATGTTCTCCAGTGAAATCAAGAAGCAAGCACAAGCCAAAAGACTGGAGAAACCCACATTATCAAGGGTGGGTTTGTTGGAGAAGGCAGCGTCTGTCTTGAAAGTGACCAGTGCTGGAAGGAAGTCCTCTGCCAGGAGCTTACAGGGAAATATGGTGCCAAGCATTGGGTTAGTGCCAAAGGCATTGAGGAAGAGCTGGGAGGGGAATGTGGAGGTAAAGAGAAGGGGTAGTTCTATCACCAAAATAGCCAAGCTCGAGATGAGAACTGAATCCAGGAGTGCTTCTGTGAGTTAATTTTATGAGTTGATCTAACTGATTTTTCAATATAATTTTTCAGTTGCTATCAGTTTGGGTAACACTATGGATTTTTCAAAGCTAGGTGCTATATCTGCTTTATTCTTTGTTTGTTTTTAGTGGAAAGAATGAAGTTAATAGTTAGTTTATAGAAGACGATTCTAATATTTTCATTGTGACCATTTCTCTGCTTATGTGAAAGTCATGCTGTAGAAGCTATAGATATAAAGTAATTGGATACTCATCTAACTCTCTATAGAATACAGGTCGATTATTTATGTGGAGTTTTTGTTGAGTTACAAAATAGAATACTGAAGAAACTAGATAAGAATGTATGCTAGTGCAGTGTCACAATATGTGCACCAACCTATGCACTTGTAATACCTGAACTATCAAGGTTAAAATGAGATCCCCTTAGCATGTATTGTTAACTTGCAGGCTCCTCGACAGAGGTCATCAATGAATGAGAAACTGCTACTTAAGGAGGATTGCAAGATTCAAAGTCCTGTTAACAAAGACATCACAAGTGCTGCTGAAGATGATTCTGAGAAATCAGCTAAACATAAGACTTCTGTTGTAAAGAAGTCGCCAAAGTCTTGTAACAGTCTAAATCTTGCTAATTTAGTCAAAGTTGTTCCTACTAACAGAAAATGGACAGACGGCAGCATATCATGGGCATCACTTCCATCATCTCTAGTAAAACTAGGAAAGGTATGACTAATAATACTATGTAATATGACAAAATTTTGCCACTATTATAAGATGTTTGCAATTGTTCCCTACTTTATTTGTGTTTTCGAAACATACCATATTATTATCCTAATCATTATATAAAATTATTAGGTGCTACCTAGGCATAAATTGCACCAACTCTAGGCCAACACATGAACCACTCTTTGTGCACGACTTGGTCTCGATGAAGAATTTTTATTTTTTTATTAAAAATATCCTAGTCATGCTGTTTGGCTATAATTTATACTAACTGAATATTTATAAAATTTAGGAGCTTTTGAAGTATAAGGATGCAGCACAACTTGCTGCTGTTGAGGCTATACAAGAAGCTTCTGCTTCGGAGAGCTTAATTCGGTGCTTAAGGTAATTATCTTCACAAAATTAGCTGTTCTATGCTTTTTTTAACTGATGAAACCATCCATGGAATTGAGATCTCGCATGTTAAAGTATCTTTCATGTTCCATTTTCTTCTCTTCACAAAGATCTAGTTTTATCTACTTGGACGCTGTGATCTATATTTTAGCGTAGCTTGAGATATCTTAGTATCTAACATGAACATCTTGTGATAGAAAGTTTTTGCATTGTACTTCTAAACCATTATTTATGAATTTATCACATGATGACCATTTTTTATTCGTTAGCTTTATCTATGAGAAATTATACTTTTTGAGTATTACCAATTTGAAAATTTTAACAGCTTCATCAGCTTTTTAGCTTAATTTCTCAGGCAAATGTTGGAAAATGTTAGTTAGCTGATTCTTAATGATGTAAATTTTCTCATTAAGTTCTTAGTTTTTTCTAGTCTAACATCTTTGAAAAAAAACAAATTTGCTTGCTGCACTCACAATTAATGAGGACCTTTGGACTTTACTTTTTTCGTTTTTTTCCTCCCCCCCTGTGATTGCTATGTCTAGTGCTAGTTCAGTTCTGGAAGTCATTATGATGACTGTGAACACTATTTGTATCCGGTGGCAAAGTGCAAACAATCAAATCAATCATTTACTGTTTTGTTCATGAAACACTGGTGCAAGAGTGTCAAATGTTGCTAGGCAGAAAAGGAAATCTGAGTGCTTTACTAGGCCGAAGTTTTCCCTCTAATATCATCCTTGTTGTTGAGGCAATAGTTTTGGTACTAAAAGTTTTACTCCTCTTCAAAATTTTGAAATTGCAAATGAATTTTAGATTCTCCTACTCCAGTCTCTAAGAATGAAGGCACCCAAAAGGATTGGTCTAAGCGCAAAGTGTTCATCTAACAGCCAACTGATTTCTTGTTCTTGAAATGTGAATCCTTTGCATCATATATTTATTTCTCTTCGGTATGATATGAAGTTTCTAAGAATGAGGCTCCTTATGGTGACCAGGTTCGAATTATGAAAACAATCTCTACCTATATTTTAAATCAGAGACGAAATTTTCATCCCCTGGAAGTTGATGCTAGTTAGATTTTCTATTAACTGTTTCTTCTAACTATTGACAAACCTGAATCATAATGCAATAGATCACTTCATTGCTTCACTTGCAGTATGTATGCAGAGCTAAGTACCTGCGCCAAGGAGGAGAGGCCGCAGTCAGCCGTTGAGCAGTTCCTCGCCCTCCACGCCTCCCTCTGCAGCGCCACCGCCGTCGCTGACTCGCTCTCCAAGACCATACCAGCATCCCCGAAGGTAAGCTCACCGGATGCACCCTCGGTCGGGGACCAGATCCCCGAAGAAGCCCTGAGAGTCTCCGCTAAGAACCGCCGCCGCGCCGCATCCTGGGTTGGCGCGGCCCTCGCCACCGACCTCTCCCCCTTCTCCCTCTACAACCGCAGGACCTCCGCTGACTCCATAGTCTCTCCGTCGGTGGTGGTCCTTGACGGTCCAGCAAAGACCTCCGCGGCCGCTGCGGCCCCCTCGAAGGCCTGCCATCAGTCGAAACCCCGGCCGTGCCCGGCGTCTTCATCGGCTGCCAAGGGGAGGGCCCGGGGGGCGGCGCCACCGTCGCCGCCGCCGGAGTGGGAGCGCGGGGTAGGGATGGAGGATGGGGCGGAGCTGGCGCGGCAGCTGAGGGAGGAGGCGCACTCGTGGTTCCTGGGGTTCGTGGAGAGGTTCCTCGACGCCGACGCGGCCGCGCCGGGGCCCTCCGACCGGGAGCAGGTGGCGGCGATGCTGTCGCAGCTGAAGAAGGTGAACGACTGGCTGGAGGCGATCGGCCATCGGAGGAGGGAGGGGGAGGCGGAGGCAGACGCGGAGGTAGACGAAGCTGAGCACGGGGAGGGCCCCGGCGGAGGCGTGCCGGTGGAGACAATCGATCGGCTGAGGAAGAAGATATACGAGTACCTCCTCACCCACGTCGAGTCCGCCGCCGTCGCGCTCGGCGGCGGGGTGCAGCCGTCGCCACTGGACGGAGGTCGGCCGGTTCAGTCCAAATGACGGATCTGGGCCTGCGTGAATCACAAAGCAGCCGTTCCATCGTCCGCCGGGGTCCGTTCCTGCACGCATCACGAAGCATGTTACTTTCCTTTGGTTCGTAGAATACGTGTTTGAATTCTATTGCGTGGGCGGGGCAAACCGTGTTGCAGAGGAGAGGCTGGTCATCATTCATCATTGGATTTCTTGTTCTATATGTTGGGACGCAGAACATATCTGTAATAAGTCCCTTTTTTTCCTTTTTATTTATCCGTGGCATTTGTGACTATTGAAGGCTTTCACATCAGAAGCAAAACATGCACGAGAGCAGCTGCATGTTTGGTCATCTTACATCTTATGAGACCAATAAAGCAATCTATCAGCAGTATCCAAAAACATATGAAGAAGAGCAATGGAATTTGGAGACATATAATGCTTCGATTTGTTCAGAACTGTTAGCAAATTAATTCATCTCATTTAAGCACGATAGAAGTTGGACTTGATTCTTTGAGGTAAATATCATGATGGAGTTCGATGTTGCTTACAATACGCTTCAATTTATGCAAATTTGCAGTCTAATCTTCTCCAACTCTTGCGATGCAAACGCATCCGTTTTATGATCCCCAAAAACTACATATGATTCATACAGTAGAAAGCTGTGATCTCATCGTCGAATATTGTGAGCTAAGTTGAGATGGAACGCATCAGCAGAGGTTATCCATCAGCAGTGCAAACACCATGACCGCAGCCATGAGCGCAGGTACCACGCCAACAGGAGGCCGATGCCCGTCTCCTGCCCTCGGAATCGTGTCAGGGAGCGCGCACTCCTCCCCGTCGAAAAACACCCTCGTCGGGAACCCGTCCCCTCGCATGATGTTGATCCCCGGCGTTGCCTTCTTCTTGAATGAGATGACGGACTGCTGCTTCCCGGGCAGTTTGAAGTCGTCTGGGCTCTTCCCCTCGGTCTGCGGCAGCAGATAATTCATGTACTGCAGGCCTTGGAGGAAGATAGTGTTGTTGATCTCCGACAGCTTCGTCCCGTTGAAGGAGTACACGTTCTCGTAGCCTTTGTAAGCTTTCGGGATGCGGACGGCGGCGAACCAGTTCTTGAAGGTGTAATCTCTCCAGTTGAACAAGGTGATCCTGGCCGTCCATCCGCTGCGGTAGTTGGACATGATGTGCCAGTTGATGCTGACGCCGCAGGTATCCCAGCACGGCAGTCGCTTGGGCAGCGAGGTGTGCTTGATCTGAGCCCAGGCCCTGGCCTTCGCGCTGCGGTTCTCCGCAGGAATCAGGAGCGCCTCCGGCGGCAGCAGCACCGCGGGAGCTTTAGGGTTACAGGACGCTTCCTCAGGGCAGCCGCACGCGCAGGTGCTGCATGGCACGACGGAGTCGTTGTAGTAAGCCGAGAAGGTGACGCAGCAACGCGACTTCCTGGCCTCCGGCCTCGTGATGTTGCAGGCTACCTGCCAACTGGCCATGGCGTAGGACGTCGACATGAGGCCGCTCGGGTCCGGGAACTCCATCGGGCTGACTCGGATCGGGGGGCCGCATTTGTACTGCGGGTTGAGGAAACCGACGATCTTGAAGTTCTGAGGAGGATAGAGCGCCGTCCTGTTGAGGTCCGGCTCTATCTTGTACACCTGCATCTGGAAGATGGCCTTCGACTTGCTTATATCCATGATCGGCGGCAGAAGCGTGCCATTCTTGCAGCAGTAAGGCAGCCTGCCGATCTGCGAGTCGTTGGCGCGTTCCGGCGGCAGGTCCACGATGATGGGCTTCTTCTCGCAGCTCATCACCGGGCTGAAGTCGAGGTCCTTGTAGTACTTGGCCGCCTCGCTGTAGATGCAGTCGGAGAAGTCGTGCCGCAGCGTGTAAGCGCCCTTCATGCTGTAGATGAACTCGCCGCGCTTCCACTCCCAGGTGAGGTTCCAGTTGTCGAGGCGGCCGAGCGGGCTGTTGTTGTCGATGGTCACCTGCGCCATGTAGTTCGAGTCGTACGCCTGAAGCACGTCGTAGGCGATGGTGAGGTCGGCGTGCTGCCGCGGTAGGAACCTGGTCTCCGTCGGCTTCGCCTTCTTGTACTTCTTGTTCTTCACACAACACACGAACATGTGGCTATCTGAGAAACACCGAGGCGTTAGACTTAGCGTGTCATCTTAGGTTGGCGAGAGAGATCGACGATTTGCTCATGCATGGCGATGTATATGCATACCTTTGCGAGTAGGTTTCGGGCAGTCGAATCCATCGTTCGTTAGCTTGATCGTCTTCGGCATGGGAACCGCCGGCGGCTTCACCCCGAACTGCGTCCCCGTCATCTGGATCGTCACCATGATCTGGTTCATGTCACCCGCGGTATCGATCGAGTTCAGCAGGTCCGCCTGCGGGTACCCCGACAACGACGTGCCGTTGCCGACATGCGCGGGGTAGTCCGTGCCGTCCATGATCACCGCTCCCGACGCCGACACCAGGATCTCGTCGTGCTGGAACCCGATAAATATCTTCCACGCCTTGAGGTCCTCCGTCATGGCGTTGAGGACGGTGGCGGTGGACTTGAAGGCGTACGCCTGCGCCGACGCATTCTTGACGTGGGGGAACTCCTTGGTTCGCGATTCAAAGGTGTAGGTCAAGAAGACGCCATTGCAGGAGTCTTCCGACTTGGGATGGTAACCCTCATCTTCACCGTCGTAGTCCTGTGCGAGCACGTCGACATGGACGAGGATAGAAAAGAAGAACACCGCAAGGAGAAGCGATCTCGGGAGCGGCATTCTTCTTTTCCTCTCCTCTATGCTTGTCGTCTGGGGACGATGGTCTCAAGGAGGGAATGGACGATGAGACATGGGGATGAGAGCATTTGGAGGGTGTAGGTTGTGTGTGTCCGGGAGAAGATTGTGGTGGTGTTCGTTCTCTTTTATCGGTCGGTGCTATTTGGGAGGAGCTTGGCAGCACGACCAGGTCAGATGTATTCTCCTCCTCTGGAGTCATCCTACAAAATTGGAGGCATAAAATGCATCTGGTTTCTGAGACTACCTCTTTGCATCCAATATGTGTGATTTGCTGAGATGGGACAGATTGTTTGTGTAGACGTGCCATTCCTTCATTCATCTCATGCCATTTCATGCACTAAATGAGTCACTGTTTGAGCCTCGAGGAGGATGGATGCATTCGGTTGATGATATTGGAGCCTTTTGGAGCAGTAGGAGACCCAACTAAAATAATTAATCAATGTAATATCATTAACTAATTCTTATTATGAGCCATCTCTAATATGAGGTCGGTGTTCTTATAATGAGGCTTCACTAGGATTGAAGATAAACTTGGTTAGGAATTTGGAGGGCCCTGATTGATATGGTCAATATTGATCGTCAATCTGACTTGAAATATTTCTCGTATTTAGAGAATATTTAGAGAGGTAAAAAATTCTTTTTGAGGTGATGCAATCACAACCTACGAGTGTCATGTATCATCCGAAAGATCGTACCGAGTATATCTAACAAAATTCCTCTCCAATGGTCTATAATGACTCAAACATTTCTTTAACAATTTTGAAATAAAATGAATTAACTATTGTAACTATCAATTTAATGAGGAAATATTTATTTTAATTGAATATTGATGTCCATAGGTGTTGATTAGACTAATAATAGCAACTTGACATATGATAATACATATAGTAATATAGTTAATGATAAGGGGGTAAAACCTGGTCAATAATCACCACGTAGGCATAAGTCCAAATGGACATTTTATCTAGGAACATTTCATAGAATTTTTTTTTTATTAACCTAATGTTGGTGTAAACAACTTTTTAGCCGTGGCCTCGGGGCCGACGCGACTTGGTTCGGGTCCGGATGACGGGTCGTCGATTCCTTCGGGAGGGGGTTCCTTGCCAACGTGCCCGGAGAGAAGCGTCTCGCCTTCATCCCTGCACACAGGTCAGAACGGGAGAGCTCGACCCGATCCCTCCGACGATCAAGTCAGTGAATAATCGTAGGGGGGTTGTTATCTATGTTGGTGTCCTCCTCCCTCTTTCCCGTTTAGAATGCAAGGGTATTTATAGGGGAGTTCAATGTTACCTGATGTGCCTGCCCGCAAGGGGTAGGATCGTACCTTCTGATGACGTCTGACATCGCTATTGGCGTAGCGTGCGGAGTCGAACCTGAGCGGTCGTTAATGGGCCTCGGTTGGCGTTACGACCCGTGTCAGTCACGCGGTGTCAGCCTAACAGGGGCGCGGGGCGTCAGCAGGTGACACGCAAGTCTTATCGTAATTATTACCCTCATCACCTAACATAAAAAGCTATTTTAAGTATGATAATTTTTTACTAAATTTAATCTATCATCGTCATGATTAACTTAAGCATCAGATAGACCAGGTTAGAAAACCCACTACTCCTGAAAAGCACTTGAGCCGCCCAGCGATCGATTCGCCTCTCTTACGCATGTGAGCTCAGTCTTTATCGGGTTGATTTCGACGTCATAGATTTTTTTTTCCTTTGTTTAAATTAACGATGGATCTCTTAAAATCTAAAATGATTTCGGCAAACTAGTTAGGGCCACAAAATGAGAAGCCAAGATCAAGTACACGAAGGTTATGTTCCATCAACTCGCTTACACTTACACGTGCCTACCATGATCAGATCCGATCCGGTTCGTGTTTGACTAGCTTTAATCGCCGAACAATTTTGGGTCTCAATCTTCAACACATCCGCGTCCATCTCGTCCCATAAAAATCCACCCTCGATAATTTCCTATAAGTCAACGATATTAGTTTATTGACTAAAACACTCTTACCAATGTGAGTATTATCGTAAGACATACGCTAAAGCAGGCCAAGTCTACGGTCCACATAGTGTTGGTCAAAAACTGCAACAAGTAACGTAAACCACTTGATGTATGATACCACAAAGTCTCAGCCGTGCGTTCGACCAAAGCGCCAAGTGAAGAGACTTTGACTTGTGGTTGTTGCTGTCAAGGCACCCAAAAAATCCACCATTTGCACCATTGCGACGGCTGCCTCAGTCGTCTCTTAGATGGCGTTGCGCATCAAACATTGATCAGCAAGAGACTGCGCATTCTTTCAAACACCTTGATGGAATTCATTTATATATACTACCTGCATGCAACAAGCTTTTGTTCATACACATAAAGTTCTCTTTAACTCCTCTCTACGATGGCTCGTGCCGTGTTGCTCGTCATCGCCGCCGTCGTCGTCGCAGTCGTCGTGGTGTCGGGCATGCGGGGAGCTGATGCGGCGAGGCCAGCGCGTGAGAGCGCCGGCGGGAGCTACCCGGCATGCTGGAACACGTACGAGGAGGCGAAGGCCAACGTCGCTGCGTGGATGTCGAGGTT